CAAGAACTGAAAGTAATAAAGATGAAATCGAATTTTCGTCTTCTTCAAAGATGTACAAGAACTGAAAGTAATAAAGATGAAATCGAATTTTCGTCTTCTTCAAAGATGTACAAGAACTGAAAGTAATAAAGATGAAATCGAATTTTCGTCTTCTTCAAAGATGTACAAGAACTGAAAGTAATAAAGATGAAATCGAATTTTCGTCTTCTTCAAAGATGTACAAGAACTGAAAGTAATAAAGATGAAATCGAGTTTTCGTCTTCTTCAAAGATGTACAAGAACTGAAAGTAATAAAGATGAAATCGAATTTTCGTCTTCTTCAAAGATTATTATTATTATTATTATGGAAGGGGTTCACCAGACAGTCTTGTTAACGCTAAACTTGCTGACCTTCCTGGGGTTCCCGTGGCTTGCAGACGAGCCAGAGTCTGCCACCCTCGGCGTCGAGCCGACCAACAGGGTGATACTGTTTAACCTCCATGAGCGCGCAGGCGCTCCCTGAGGCTGTCTGCACACTCAAGGCGGAACCAGAGAGCATTTCGACAAGGACGAGGCATTAGCTTCTACCGTGCCCACGATCTACGGAGGCGCGTCCACGAAGCAAGTTTCGTAGCGACCAAGTACTACAGCCAAGGGCCCATCTGTTGCAGCGTCGTCCGCTGGGTCGTAAGTCTCGTCAAGAGACTCGGAGGAGGGAAATTTGCCCGCGGGGCAGTTTAGTTCTTCTCCAAGCCGGAGCGCCACTACACGGCACTGCCTGTGCTCCGGTCATCAGCGGAGTGCGACTGATGTTTTCACCTGCCTCACCGGGTGGAGTGCATCCCGGGGAGGAGGCCGCGGGCGGGTCGTTCGACGTGCATCCATGCATTGCGGAGGTAGGTAGAGCGCTGGATGATGGCCGCAGCGTTACCAAGGGCCTACGCATGGAAATCGGGGCGGTCGTGTTCTAGAGCAAGGTAGCGGTAGAGGTCTGCAGCGGGCTGCGGAGTGCGCAAGCGCTGGACGTTTTCCACTGCGTGACACTCTAGCAGATGCTCTATCGTGTCATGCTCGACGAAGCATCGGCAGCAGCGTACTGGGAGGAGTCCGTCACCAGTGGCTTGCTTGAATCTCGTTGCGCCCAAGATGGAAGCAGCGACTACCTGGGTCGACCGGTCGTCCCCGTTGCGGCTGAACTCTGTCCAGAGTTTGCGCGCCTCGGCTCGCGTCCACTGGAGGAAGCTCCCGACGATGAGGCCACTCTCACTGGGGCCAGCGAGGTTGTCCCCCAATGCTGTCAGAAGGTCGAGCTCTTGCATCTCGAGGAGGCGCCGGACGCGGCTTTTGACCTCTTCGCCTGGCATGGGTGGCCTCCACTCCCCCGCGGTGGGCGCGTGAGTGGTGCGGGCGATATTGGCGGCGCCATCGACGAGTTCGTTCAGTACGTAGCCCACATGACTGCGCACATGATAGACGTGCACCGCAGGAAACAACTCGCATAAACCGGCGAGCGCTGCTAGCGCCTGTCGATCAGCAAGCCCGACATGTCCTCCAGTGCGTGTAAGACGATGGACATACTCGACGAGGGAAAGCGCGTCCAGGAATAGGTGAAGCGGCTCCACATGTGCAGCACCGGGGCCATCAGGCGGGGGAGTGACATGCTTCGCCACGTGCTGGAGGGCTTGGTAGAGTGCTACTTTTTCGACATCATATGACGAGACATCTCCGCGCCGCGCAGTGGTGGTGAGGTATCCTTTTCCACCCTGAAAGTATACAGCGGCCGCCGCGGCGTCAGTGTCAGAGTACGACCCGTCAGTAGCAGCTGCATACCCAAACTCCATGGCGGTTGTCATCACCGTATTGAGCTCCTCAGGATCGTAGGCGTCCTCGTAGTGAAAGTTGAGGTTGGCGAATTCCGTCCTTCCAGGACGAAACTCGCGGAGCGTCTCTAATTCTTCGGTTTTCCATTGGACTTGTTTTAAGGTCTTTAAGGCATCGGCGACCCAGCATCGTGCGTACTTGCGACCAAGGTAAGGGCCAAGGTGAGTCCCAGGCGCGAGTTCAGGCGCATACGTATGGTATCTGCGCAAAGTAGTGCCCAGGTTGAAGTCAGAACAGCGAAGCACACCAGGCGGAACAGCGATGGCATCCCAGCGTCGAAGTAGCAGCGTAGCCGGGCATTGCGCTCGGGCGGCGGTGAGAGCATCCCAAGGCGGCACAAGAGCTACGGCATTGCGTGGCAGTGGTGGAGCAACACGGGAACCAAAGTCCGGCAATTTTCGTCTTCTTCAAAGATGTACAAGAAATGAAAGTAATAAAGATGAAGTCGAGTTTTCGTCTTCTTCAAAGATGTACAAGAACTGAAAGTAATAAAGATGAAATCGAATTTTCGTCTTCTTCAAAGATGTACAAGAACTGAAAGTAATAATAATAGCAGGGGCAAGGTGAGCCCGGGGTTGTGCGGGCTGTTCACAGCAGTACTCATCCTTCAAAGATGTACTACAACTGAAACAAGATGAATTATACAAAAACAATCATCGAGAGGGTGCCATACTAACAGGGCATTGTGTATCAGGTAGCCAAATTCCATCATCTTCTGCTCCAGTTCCTGCATGACTTGGTCTGCAATTTCGTCTTTAGCGGCAAAGACTTCATCCAGCGTCATTTTAGGTACGCAACTCCGGATGACGTTGGTTACGAAGGCTTCGATCTGTTCTGAGGGTTTCGTTAACCTGTACAGCGCGTCCTGAGCTCTATTTAGCATCTTCAGATTCACATCTTGGATCTATTCTTTCCCTCTTGATGGGGGGAATGATGATCATGATGATTGTGCCTATACTAGAGGCGCGGTTGTTTCAGAGGTCTATCCTTTGCACTTTTGCATGTGCCCCTTGTAGATTTCAATCCATTTTGCTCTTGCTTGCAGTGACATCCCTACTTCAACATAGTCGAGGCTCCTTATTACAGTCTGTGCGTTTGCAGTTCTGTGAGTTGTCCAGTACTATCCGATGAAAATGGAACAGTCTTGACTACTTAGTACCCTCCTCTTCTTTCAGTATCTCCCTTATTTTCAAGGAATCACTCATTGAAAAATAATAGAATAGTTTGTTACTCGGTAGTTATTTCAGTTTAATATCGATTACTTAAGCAGCCTTAATTTATGCCTGACCACCTCTTGTTGTACAGCAACCACGAATTCAACAAAGACGTCGTCTTTGGTCTTGGTTGAGCATCGCACTTGGTTCTGCACGATTCTGGTAGTCACGGATTTCGTGTTGATGGGGATTCGAGAAGAAGAAGATTCTTCAAGATAACCTGGCTGCTTAAGTAGTAGTTGTAATTCCGGAATTCTTCAAGATAAGCTGGTCGTGCTTAACCACATATCATACCTGACGAGGAAAGGCTGCCATAATTTAAGCATATCCCAGCAAACACTTTTGCAGCATAAAATTGAACGCGCTCTACCTCTACATCTACTTCTGTACTTAGAAATAGTGCCATAAGCATATCCCAAACACGTCGAAGCCCAACACGTGTAACCCTGATGGCTGAATTCCCTCATACTTTCCGCAGCGTTCGACGGCTACTAGTTTGTCCGGTGGCACACAAATGACACAGTTTCCCATGTTAATGGTCAGGTCAACCCTTCTCTAGGGTACTTGAGTAATCCGAAAACAAATGTTCTAGTTTTTCTCACACTGATCTTTTCACGATCCCTTCGAAGCAGATCCACAACATGCCTAAAGCAGATCCACAAGTATGAGACAACTCAATTTTGAAAAAGAGCTTGTTGAGACAGATTGGCTAATACCGATGTCTTTGAGATGCGGAAAGCACAACAACTGCAAGACGACATCGCGAATACCCAGACCACAAGATGTTGTGAAGTAGATGCGCGGTCTTTCATTCATTGATTGATTGATTGATGTGCCCACTCATGGGATAGAGCTTTTTTAATTAGAAGATGTGCATGTTTGCAGTGCTAGTCCTTCTTTTCTCTGTTGCACTTCTTTTTGTTGCATCTTCTTTCGTGATTCCTCATTATGTTTATACTGAAGACAACCGAATTAAACCAGCCTCAATATGTCATACATAGGAAGGAATCAAGGAAGGAGTCATACGCGGGATCGATAGAAAACAACGTACAGAAGAACTCAATGTAACAAGAACTCAACAACGTACTTAATGATTTATCTCAATGACGCATCACGAAAGCGTTGCGTTAGATGCTGTCAAAATAGATTGAAGATATAAGCCTCGCATCGGATGAAAAAAAGTTCGCTAGATTTGGTACTATGACTTTTTCCTATACATGTGAAGAAATGATGAAATGTGAAAATCTGAATCTTGGATTGGGGGTTTTTGGGGTTAGCAAGCTCAACCATGTCCACGACATGCGTGTCCCTTTACAAAAAGCTGTTCATGATTTTCTTTTTGATCATGTTTCTTTGATGCGTTCTTGCCGCTGTCCCACTTTCTAGGATGTTTTTAGGCGGTGTCCGCCACCCCACACTGTAACCATAGTCTGCATGCAATTGTTTCAATTGATTAGCTGATGCTTTCCGTGCTTGCCCTCTCGTCACTTTATCAGCGTCGCCTGCGTTCCATAGCTGGTATTGTAACCCTTCAGCCTTTCTAGCGCTGGTTAAGGAGCCTAGTGTTTCGGGAACCTGTTTTCCGGTATCCGGATTGGTGACCATTCGAACCTCAGCCGTTGCAGGATGGAAATCGCTCCACTCGCGAAAGGGCTTGGCCAGAAATTTCCCTGTCTTTGGATCCGTCGGTGGCCTTCGGGAAGGGAGTATGAAACAACAAGGAGCTTGCTTGCTTGCTACTAGAGGAAAAAGAATATTCTTGAGGGCGGAAGGACTCCATGATTCTTTCTCCTAATGCTAATTTTTGTGTGGGAGAAGTTTTTCTACTTAAATTTTACTTAAATGCACTTCTTCATCTACCAGCAACACTGAAGCAGATATTAAACCTAGTACAACTTGCTTCTAAAACAAGTAAAACCTGACTATTGTAGCCACCATGCATAAAGATCTTATCCTGCGCAATGGGCATTGCATGACAAATAGGTCCTTGATGAACGCCTCCCGCGTTGAGCTGGATGTTGAAGATATTCCCTTTTGCTGGACTGCCCAAATCATCATCTGTCGGAATCCCAGGTAGAAAAGCTGCCGCGACGGAGCCCAAGGACTTAAAACCCTTGAGAAAAACGTCTCGGACCAAAGAAAACGACTCCTTAGCAGCCGCTGGTCCAGCAGTGTTGTTCGGGTCGAATTTCTGGGAGGGACTGCTACCGGGAGTTAGAGCATCAAGGAAGAGAAGTAACTCGTAGAACATGAGAAAGACGTTCTTTGTTCCAACGGCTATAATATACCTACCGTGATTTGCATTTGGGTTCTCTGAAGACATGATACTATGTCGTGAGCTATCCTCGTAAAAGTGTTACTTACAACACAAGCATTGCATGCATTCATTTACCTAGCACGAGGTACTGTCTCAAGACTTGAGCCATAAACTTTCATGAAACCAACCTGGGTCTTTTGGCCCCAAGGCTTCCGCTCTGAGGTTCCTTGACCGCAGTACGTCGCGCGCACTTGATAAAGTCGGATTCATGGTCTTGTGGGAAATGTAATCCGGATCGTAGCAACCGTGCAAAACGTTCGTGCAATACAAAGCTTGGATTTTTCGGTTGTCCTGGTCCGAAAGCTGACTGTCGTAGGGAAGAGGATGTGTTGTTAGAAGCTTAATGTGTGTTGCTGCGATAATGTTGCTGCGATAAAAACGTAGGGAAGAGGATAGTGTTGCTGCGATAATGTTAAAGCTCTACTTCTAGGTGTAAGTAGCAAAGGTTCTTCTTGGAGACCTACTTAACTGCATTTTTGTACTAACTAAGAAAGGATGATCATAGAAATATATATTCACCTTTCAGGGAGGATCGTCCCCGAAAGTGGAGTGGGATCGTCCCCGAATGATATTTTACTCAACTTTCGGGGGGATCCCAAGATGGATTTGGATTATTTGGAGATTTCAGAAAAAAGTTTTCTGGCCACCAAAAGGGGCACAGTACGTTTCGCAAACAACAGAGAGGAGGGAGTCAGCATGTAAATAGATAGCAGAGGCGACTAGGTAACGGCAAGAAGAAAGAGAGCTAATATTTTAAACAGACACCCAGCAGGGCGGAAGCTCAGGAAGGATAAGATTTTCGGGGACGCAACTTCCGGGGATGATCCCAAGATTTGCATCCACAGGACGCATTCAAATAAAATTCAAGTCCACACAAGGAGCCTTAAATAAACACTCTCGTACTCGGTTCCCTTGTCGTTGAGACGATAGATCTGTCTGTCTAGACCTTGTTCGTGCCACCTAGGATGCTGTCTCCACCACTTACACATCAAATTGCCTGGGCCAGTGTTCATTACTGCAGGAACGTCACCCATCTCATTGTCGGCTCCGGAACTGTGTAGAAGTTTGGTGATAGGTGTGAAGGCAAGTTAAGGTGTTGAAGGTGAATTAATGAAGGTGAATTAATTTAGCGAGATCAATAACACTTATATCGCTGCAATGAACCTCTCCGTATCAACAGCAACATCATACTCCAAAAATAACTATATTTCAAAAATACCGATAGATGCCTCAACATCATACTTACTCATTATTAAGAAAAAGATTGCGTGAAGGGATACGGAGAAGCAATTATAGATTTATGACTTAAATTATACAGATTAATGAATAGATACCTGTAATTTATGACTTCTTTTCCAGCTCCGAAACCTCCTGGAAACCCCAACAAGAGCAATAGACCGGCAGCCGCTTGCCACAGCATGCCTTTTAAGGCGTTCAGATTGTACTTCAAAGGGCAGCCAGGGGTATAAGGTCGCATCTCGCAGATAGTCGGAACCATTAGAGTAGAGTGGTCATATTATCATCTCTGCCCCATCATTCATGTGACACTGAAGAGATGAGTCATAATATGAATAAGCATGTAGTATACCACCTTAGATCTGCTAGTTAAAAAAAAATACTAATACTTCAAGAAGAGAGATGAATAAAATTAAAAGCAGCTCCTGCCCATAAAACCGAGTCGTCACAGGGATTGTTATCTCTACCGAGCCACACGCCAAATACGAATTTATCTTCGTGTCCAGCTGGTTTTAGTGACCTGTCGAAGTTGTAGCCAGGTGGCGGCGGATCCTTGGTGTAAGGGTGCTTCTTATTCATGAATCCTTTCATTAGAGATAGTGATAGAAGAGGCCAATCCGAATCCACTAACATCATCATCATCATCATCATCATCGTAGATCTTCTACAGTTTCCTGTTCATGGCAACTACAGTTTCGTTTTCAATTCAAAAAAGGACCATCAACAATATTGGAATGCTCTTCAATGTAGTTGTACCCGTTGTCAATATTGGAATGCTCTTCAGTGATCATTCATTCATTCATTTACCTGCTCGTGAGGTATCGTTTAGCGCGAGGGGACGCGGGAGGGAGTCAATGAATTCGTTTCATGTGAATCATACTTAACTTCAATTGGCAGATCCCAAACCGAACTGGGACAATGCGCATAACCTCATGCCCCAAATGGTTGGGTATCTGTGCGAAAGGATTGTCGACTCTCGGTTTTTTATTCCATGTGAATCCCACACATCCTGGATTCACGAAGCAATGGTTAAAGGTCGGCATGGCCAATGGTCACTGATTCTGAAAAACGAAGGGTCTCACGCCTCTCCCCTTTTCTTGTTCCCTTCATTTTCCCTTGTTCTCTCATCTCAAGATGACGGGCCGGCCCCTCTTCGATCTCTAACTTCAGTGACCGACGACCAACCTCGATGACCCATGATGAAGGTTTTGAGCCTTAAAATGGAGCAGGCACTCGAAGGGAAAAAACATGTTCCAAGGCACCGGAAAAATCGTAAAGGGGAAGGTGGGGAGATTAGAGGATAATTGAATCTATCGGTTCCACTAGTAGGAGAGAAAATATGAGGAGGAGGTGGAAAGAAGATACTGTAATGACGATGATGATAGAAGATGTAGTTTGCTTTATTTCTCATCTAAGACTAAGTCATGATTTAGTTGTAAGACTTAAAAATATGTTCACTTTTAGACCAAGGGTGGTCTCGATAACTATCATGTTCGGAAAAGGTTGTACTTTGGATCTTTAAAACTTATGTTGTACTATCACTATGTTCGCCATAAGAAAAGGCAACGGAAAGAAGGGCATGAGCCATCTTGTGTAGTGCCACACTGTAGTCCCTGGTCTGATGATGCCGGAAACTTCATTGTCCTTCAAGTTGTTCTTCGTCTCTAGTACGTTCCCTAAGTCGTCGCGCACTTTGTACTTACTCTTGCACAAATCATACGTCGCGGGACCAGAGACGGCTGACAAAGCGTCAAAAGCATTGATGCTTGGTGAGAGAATTAGAGAAGAGATGTACTAGAAGTTGCAAAAAATGTCTAACTGTAAACACTACAGCACAAAAAAGGTAGTGCTGTGAATTGCACTCCTCAATGAATCTCTCTGTCTATCACCTTCAACACCCATATCGAACCAAGTCTAGATCATAAAAACAACCCCGCGAAGCAAGCAGGATGCGCCCAACTGCTCTGATGTTTTTTCGATGGGTAAGGGCCTTGCTTACAGCAGCAATTCCCATCTGCGTTTTTCGTCTGCTCCCAGTAGATTAAACGATGAATGTTCGGAAATTTGTAGTACGTGTACGCGCCAGAGATAGCCGGATGACCCGGATTGTAATTCTCGTGGATTCCGCCTTCTCCATTGTTCTCCAGCCTCGGCGGATGATATTCCTCCTTGGCTGCGCCTGGTTCCTTAGTTTTTTCCCAGCAGCGCTCGCAGCACTCTTCTTGACTCGAGACACCAAAACAGGTATCTCCAGGTGCAGGATCCCAGTTGTTCTGGAACTTGAAAAAACTTGTTTTTCTACTTGTGCAGGAAGGTGAAAGTCCTCTACTACTTGTTCTGTGATTAGTTGTACTTGTCTCCACCTTGTAGTTATCTCCTTGTAGTCGTGTGGGGTTCATTATCTCCTTGTAGAGATGTTCATGTTGTTCCTCGTGTCCTTCTATCATGCGGTAAAAACTGGTGCTCACTTTGATTGTTGTAGTTGTTTCCGTTGATGTACACGATTTTGTCCTGAATCCATGCCCGGCGAAAGAAGATGTGGAACCTCCGATTTGCTCGAGGCCGTTCTTCAGGATGTGGACAGGATCGTAGAAGCCCTGACCGCCTGCTCTTGCTGACAGGAGTGCGGAGGACAGCTGTTCTTGCTGGAGAGCGAGTGACATTTTTTGGATATGTAAGAACCACTCACTCTCAAACTAGAAAACTGGAGATGTGAGAACCACCTCACTTTCTAAAAACTCCTTAGAAACAAAGTGCGTCAGTTTCATATTTCTTTGAGCACTTTCTCACTACTTGTTCCGATATTCACTACTTGTTCCGGTCTAAACAAACGATAAGCGCTAAACGAATTCTTTTACAGTGTCGAGTCCGAGGAGACCTAGTCGGGCGATGACTCAACGCAACTCATCTTCATCCGCGAACGAGATGCTCTTGCGCACATTGTGGTCGTAACCCATCTGAGATTCAAATGGTTAACGCAACTACATTCGTCGACGAGTAGTAAAAGAACGATACAAGTCCACGACATGATCCTTGTCACCGCACTAAGGTTGCTCTCTCTTGGGGACCACATAGACCTCCTACATGGATAAGATATTTATAGGAGTTGTATTCCTCGGGAAAATACATTCTTTCACCAAGAGTGGTCCGCCGCTTCTTTAAAACAGAAGTTGGAGGTCGTGTGTGGGGGCTGACACTTCTCTCGGTCATTCATTCATATTCACGCTGCTACCGTCAAGATTTTTTTTTGGTGCCTAGGATATATTTCTCGCGATACGAACATTTAATTACCCTGCGAGAAGCCTGAAGCACGACGGCCAGGCACCTAAAACTACCAAAAAAATCGAGTAGCAAGAGTTGTCGTGTCACGTCATGGATCCTCTTCCGTGCCACCTCCACCCAGTCCCCCACCTTCATCGTAGCAAGATCGGCATCAGCTCTTTTTTTTAAGCCATTCAAAATGTATGGTAAAGGTTGAAACATTTCATCTTTAAAGAGCCATCTTAAGTGTTGTTGTGCCTTCATTTAGAACGATCCATGTCATGTGTGTATCCCTGTTATGACCATTCTTGATCACCGTAGATTTTATTTTTTTTGCGTTAGGACTATATGCCACCGCCCTTTCAATCAATTAGTTAACCTATATAAAAACATCCAAATTACATACTGGAGGCGCATAAGACCGGACAATCGGCCACAAGTCTACATCTATCGGAGAAGCCGCACATTCGACTCCTGTAGAAAACCTAAGGCGCAACCCGACGCAGCGGGGCCCCATGAGCAAGTCAGCACACCTGCAGGGGTATGACACGCCGCAACACTGATGATTGATTTACTGATGAACCACCTAACGCATGAGCTGACAGTTAAAAAACAACTATGACTAGCAAACCCGAAACCAGTGAAGCGAGCCTGTGCTAAGAATAAGCGCAGAGATCGGACTTAACTAATGTTTTTGAGATCTCGAGCGGTGAAGTCACATGCCTCACCAGTCATCTACAGCGCGGAGCTAAAATCGTGATGAGAGCGGCCTGGTGAAAGCATGGGGGTGGCAGTAGTTGCCGTTACGGTTAGGTTACTATAAAATCGTATAGATGAAGCTTATCCTGTTACTTTTTTTTTTCCGTCACATGATGTTGCAGCCGCACTTCGCCAAAAACAAAGGATCGATAAAAAAAAAAAACAAAGACCAAAAAGCAAAAAGTGGAGGGGTAACTCCGACCAAAGGGGCTACCTTATGCCTGATAGCCACAACCGGGCGGGAGATAAAAAGATCGGCGAGGGAGAACGATGGGACGCTCTACCCCTTATAATTACGCTGAATAAGTCTACTCATCAACTGAAGCAAAGGCATAAACTCTTTAACTCTAACGTCAGTCACATCGCGCAAGACAGAGGAAGCTCGCGAACCACTCTGGCGTTCCCTAAGGACCACTAGTGATTATCTCAACTCTCAAACAGATCTCGCTCATATATTTTTTTTTTTCCTAGTACCCGTAGATTTTATTTTTTTTGCGTTAGGACTATATGCTGCCATGGCAGCTGATAGAATGCCCATCCAGGCCAGAGACAGAATGGCAGCTGACACGAGGTCAACTCCCACAACGAATGCCCATCCAGGCCAATGGCATTCCCAATAATCCAACAATGGAAGGGACAGTAAGACAAGTCGCGAAGCAATGAAATCATTTTCTTACCACGACTATTGAAAGAGACCGAATTGAGGCAACAACTATCAAGTGGAACACCTTCAGTTGTACTCAACAGCATAATTCGGCAGACGTGCAGCAGTTGTTTCACCTGTTTTCACGTCCAGCCTTGTCTTTCAGGACGTGAATAACAATGTTTTCTGTGGTGCTTAAAATATTCGAGATCGAGAGAGGGACGCGGGGGGAGGGGGGAGGTGGTTGATTATTTTTGAAATTATTAAAAAGTTGATTTTAATCACGATCGATCTTGTTCGTTCAATAACAAAAACAATGTTATGTGGTAGAAGAGTTGTTGTTGTAAGAGCTGACTTTCAAAAGGCGCAAAAAACTTTTCTCATTAGATATAGATGACCAAAGCTAGGATCCAATCATTATGTGTGGGTGTATCCCTATTTTTTTTGTTCTTCTTCCCGTAGTACACACCTTTAGTTAAATTCTCAGATCGAAGCTCCAACCACATTCTTATGAAGCTCCTGCTGAGGATCTTCTCATTCTTTCTAGTAGTGCTTTCAACTCATTCCAGTTGTATGAAATCCCATCCGCTCTGTAGAAAATAAAAACCCCAGCTCTAGAAGATAACATCAGGAGACAATAAACCTCCATCATCTGCCTCCTCCGCCAACTGCAGTCTAGAAGATAAAATCCTCATCATCGCGTCTCAAGAAGAGAAAATCTCTAGAAGATAAAATCTCCCTCTGGTTCTGGAGAAGTAGGAGACTCGGATTTTGGAGATGGTGCTGGCAGCTTCCCAGTTGCTAACAACGATTTTAAGCCCTCTTCAATAACAGAAACATTCAGTGCAGGAGCTGCAGGGCCTCGTTAGAGCTAGAGTTTCCAAGTTCATTCGCATCATCACTCTTTTTCTCAAAAAGAGCATCCTTCATAGCGAAGAAGGTTGAAACAGAAAGAGAAAAACGAAGCTTTTGCGAAGCTTCTAGCCACCAGAAAGTCGAAATTATATGTACCACATCAGAGGACGACCACTTAGTGTCGACCACCAGACTAGAAAGTTGAGTCTATTGATGTCCGGGACCATAACCTGGCTTGTTGAACCGTGTCTTGTAATCATCCTCAAACCGCTTGTTTTCCTTTTCATCAAAAAGCTTGTTCTGAGGGACCGGAAACGGCGGCTTGGCCGCGTCAGCGGCAGCACTCAGAGCTGCGAATGAAGGCAGGTTGTCCGGACCGAAAGAGCTATGATGCTGAGGAATTGGAGTTTTTTGTGGCGCAGATCCAGAAGAGCTTCCATATCCAGAAGAGCTTGCATATCCAGAAGAGCTTCCAGAAGCACTCCCAGACGCGCTTCCTCCAGATCCGCTAGCACCTGTTCCGCTATCCCTTAGTCTTCTTCTACTTCCTCCTGATGGGGATGCCCCTCCGACGACTTGTGCTTGTGCTTGTGGTGGCAACACGTGACGCTCTCCTCCTTGTTCTTGTTGTCCACCTCCTTGTTCTTGAGAAGCGAAAAAAAAGCTTGAGCTGCTTCCTTCATCCAGATTGAATGCTGGTACTTGTCTAGGTCGTGACCCTGGCAGTGCGGATGGCGGAGGGGAAAAAATGTCTCTCGGCGTCGGAGGTGGGGACATTGGCGCTGCGGTGCTTGCTGCTGGGGTGCGTACTTGAGGCGAAGGGGATCGTCCTCTAAGAGGAACTGCTATCGACGTAGCTGGTGCAACTCCTGATGATATTTCTCCTGTAGCAGTACTACTCGGAGCAGTACTACTCTGGGCCGTGCTACTCTGAGCACCACTACCCTGTGTCGGAACAAGCGACGAAGTAGGTGGTGCAGGGGCCCATGAGGTACTTGGTGAAGCTGCTCCAGCAGTTACACTATCTTGCCTCAATTTTGAGCTCGATGGAGGCGGCGACTGGGGCTGTGAAAAGTGATCTTGATCTACTTGATGTAGAAGTTCTTTTTGTGCAGGAGCTCCTTCTACTTCTATTCTCGAAGTTTTTGGTTCTAATTTAACTATTAAATTAGAAGACTTGTTTAATATTGCTGATTCTCCCGCCACCGACGTACTAGTAGCGTAAAAATTTTTACTAGTTGGATCTTGTTGTAGACGTTGTAGAAATCCACCTTCTTCACGATGTTCTTTCGATTCTTCCACTCCTCGTGAAGGAGGAGGCACTTGTTCATGTAAAGTAGGTGGTACTTGTTCAACATCAACATGTTGATGTACTTGATGATGTACATGTAGTTGTTGTTCTGGTTGTGGTTCTCCTTGTTCTCGTCCTACTTGATCATGTAGTTCTCCGCTTTTTTGGTACCCTGCTAGTGAACTTCTTGGTCCTACTTTTCCTTCTTGAACGAGAGGTTCTTGTTCTAAAACTTGAGGCGGTACGTCTCCTCTTATTGTGGGTGGTTGTCCCGAAGATCCTGGATTAAACGTCGGTGGCGGCGACCGAAAAGGGGTCACTGATGCATTTTCTGAACCATCACGACCTGGGGAAATGTTGATAGTTGTGGATTCTCCCTGCACGGCCAATCCAGCAGTACTAGCCGTTGGCTCGAACAATCCGACTTCGATACCTGCTCTAATGGCATCAGGTGGCACTTCAGGAGGCGGTGTGAGAGCACTAGTAAGACTCGACCAGCGTGATCCACTAGCACTACTATGCTGCAGACCTGCCGCAACGGCGGCAAAACCCCCCGCGGGTGGCTGCCAGCTAACGCTAACGTCGTTTCCAAGAGGGCTGTGCTCGCCTGCATGGTCACTGAAAGCAGTGGCAGCTGCTGGAGAATCTGCGGTGGCCCAAAGAAGTTGTGCTCCTACAGTAGCGGTGCCCAAAGGAGCAGAATCTGCGGTGCCTTCTGCCGGCTCTTGTTCCTCAAAGGCTCTTCCTTGAATAGATTCTGCAGTCGTCCTCGGACTCGGACTTGTTTCACGATCATCTTCTGCAATTCCTGGTAATACGGGAGCTCGCGGAGGTCGTCTATTAGCCACTGTTGCGGGAGCTCGTTGTAGTGTACTAGTATTAGTTGTAGTGCCAGATGCATGACCAAGCCATTGGTTATAGAAGGGTCTGCCTTTGAGTTCTTCTCTAAGCCCTGCAGAAATCATTGCCGGGTCCTCTTGCGAAATCCTTGCCTCTACTTGCTCCTCCGCTTCTCGGTCCCCGCTCTCATCTGCTGATGGTGCTGATGATAGAAAAAATTCTTCCCGTGGATCGAAAGTGTAGAAGCTACCTGGAACAGCTGCAGGAGGAAGGTCCTCCATTTCAGGAACATCGCCGCTAAAATCGCGGAGTACTTGATGAAGTGACTCAGCTGTAGAACTGCTTCCTCCTCCTCCTCGAGGAGCCGCAGAAGACGCGGCCCCGGCCCCTGCAGAAGGAGAAGAACTACTACTACTACTAGCACGTAGTTGCCCTCCAGGCAATGTTGAAGGCAGATGCTGTTGTTCTCCTGCTCTCAGCTCGAGAGGAAACTCCACCATCTCCTTCGGGTGAGAACCACGACCCTGCTGACCATGTTGACCTTGACGAGGAAGTTGGGGAGATGATCCACCATAAAGTTGAGAGGAGCCTCCTGCCTCGACGAGAGGAAGATCTGATCCTTGATGTTCATCTTGAGAGGAGCCTCGTCCTGGTAACGGAGGTACAACTGGGAAGTTGTTAGGGTCAAAGCTGACTCGCTTCTGTGAACTGGGTCCAAGTCCAGGTGAGAGAAATTTCCAGTCATCTGGCGAGCCAGGACTCCAGGGATTCAGTCCTGGGCTGTTGGGGTCAGGGGTCAGTGTCGCCGTCGTCCCATCACTGTTCGGCGGCTTGTCAGGGTCAAAACGACATGCTGCTTTAGGAGTCTTGAACCCCTGGAGATGCTCTACCGGTACCGGTTTTCTTTCAGGCGAGCCTGGTGCTGGCATTCCTACTTCCGGAAGCGACCCTTCTGCTGGTGCGGGACGAGCAGGCTCTTCTAGTAGGTTCTTTTCGTTTGTTGTAGTACCTTCAGACTCTAGGAGAAAGCCAGTACAAAGAGGACCAGTTCTCGTACCAGCTTCAGACTCTACATCTACTTCAAGTGCACCTTCTTGAGGCGGCACAATGTGAATAGCAATGTTGTCAGCCGTAGAAGGCGGATCCTGCTCATCTAGTAACTCAGCAAATCCAGTGACTGGCGGTGAAGATAGGTCTGGGGGTGATAGGTCTGCTGATGACATTTCTGGGCCTTCACAACCTGCTGTCGCTCCTGCTTCACTGCAGGCTGCTGCTGCTTCACTGCAAGCTGCTGCGTCACTACAAGCTGCTGCTTCACTGCAAGCTGCTGCGTCACTACCAGCCGCTGTTGCTCCATGAGAAGCTGCAGCGGCAGCATCTTGCACCAACGTTCCTGGAAAGCCGGCGTTCTCGTCTTCCTCCTCAACTACTTCCGGTTCGCTAACAGGGGCATTTGTGGGAATCACTGGCTCTGGTTCATCTCCAACATCATCAAGAAAAGCTTGTTGATCTTCTACCCCTTCTGGAATAAGACCACGATCTTCATCCACCACTGTACTTCTCAGTGCGGTAGGGTGCCCTATTCTTCTTCGTTTGCCGGGTGGCATTTCAGCATCTACAGGAATAGCTGGAGGAGGAGCAACTACAGGAATTATAGCCGAGCTACTGCTCCCAGCAACCTCAAGAACTGCATGCTTCAGTGCTTCTTCTTCACCCATTTCTGGAGCACCTTCGGCTCCTCGATCAAAGAAAACGGAAGGAGCAGGAGCAAAAGCATGTTCGTTTCCGCTATCACTTCTTCTCGGAACAAGTACTGCTGTTGGCTCCTCAATATCAGCCGGGCCTTCAGCTGGAGGCTCAGTTGTTGTTCTTTCGCGTCCTCGCTGATGTTCAGGAGTGTAATTTGTGATAAGAGGGTCCTGTGGAACAGCACTGATATCAAAGCTACTTTTACTAGTGGGTTCCGGAAGACTACTTTCACTAGGTTCCGGAAGACCACTACTCTGCTCCCAACGTTGTTGCTGCTCTCGAGGTGGTTGTTGTTGTGGGGCATCTCCTTTGCGTGGCCCCTCCTCAAAAGCTATGAATTCTTGTCGCAAAAGCATTACGATACACACACGTCCATTTTTTCCCTCCAACAGTTCTTGTCCTCCTCCCGAAGAAGTAGTTGTCCTTGTCCACCCACTGCCGCATTTGTCCCCATAAGCAACACCCAAAGCCATCTCTTCAGCCGGTGCACGTTGAGAAAGCAAGGCCTCACGGTGTTCGGTCGACTCCAACCACAAGCGCATACAATGACTAGCGACTTCAAAAGTATCTTCTTGATAATAAAGTTCTAGTTGTCCCTGGCGTTCTTCTCCCTCCTGGAGAGCAGCATCTTCATCTTCCAAGGGTCGTCCTCGTCCTTCCAATTCTACTTCATAAGGGTCGCCCTCCTCATAAAAGCCCTCTTCAAGAAGAAAGTCTTCTTCATCCCTTTCAGGACGATGTTCCTGTGCAGTAGGAACTCTTGCCAGGAAGCCACCTGGCGACTCTGGAATCGCTGGCAGAATCAGATCCGCATCTTCTTGTTCAGCACCCGTAGTTATTGAAGGTGGAGGTGGCCACATTGATCGACCCTCTTCTACCACTCGATCCGAGCCTCTTCTACCGCTTGATCTGACACCCAGACTGCCCATTGGTTCCACTGCTGGTGGAGGTTCTTTTGGAGCAAAATAAATTGCTTCACTTCTACTAGGCGGAGCAACAGAAAATGCGGGAACGACTGCTCCTGGAGCTGGAAGCGGGACGATACCAGAAACATCAGCTACTTGTGAAGGAGCTTCTGACAGATCAGCGGGAAATGCCGGAGTCGCTCCAAATGTAGGAAGCGGCGGCACCTCCGGCATTGCAGGGAGACTCTTTCCTTCTCCTCCTAGGCTTTCTGGAACATCACGTAGAGGAGTGAAGTCACCGAGCGCAGTTGACGCGGAGCCAGGACAGGTGGTTGCGGTGCCGAGCAAGCGTTCCTCATCTTCCAACCACTTTTCCCGCGAGGCCGCTCGTTTTGGCGTAACAGGCTCAAAGGCCACAGGGACGCCAGAAGGAGCTGAAGCAACAGGAGACGATCCCTCATCAGGCTCATGGTCAGGTCGTCCTTGTTGTACTCCTGGACCTTGTTGTACTTCAGGACCTCGTTGAGCAGCATCGGATGAAGCAGACACCTCATCGCGAACGTGATCGGGGTTTTGTCCACGATGATCTGACGGAAATCGAAGTCTCAGAACCTCCCCGCTTTGGTCAGTACTAGAGGAAGAGGCTCGCCGCTCTGTGTTCTTGCCTGCCTCAGCAGGAAGTCGTCCCTTCAACACAGGAGATGAAGCAGGATCCTTTAGCGTGTCCTTGAATCTTCCCACGTCTCCTCTCCTCGACTCCAAGACTCCTCGACCGAAATCAATTCCTCCGTCGAAGACTAGGTCCTTACCTGTTTCCGCAGCTCCTTCTGCATAATAATGAAGTTCCTCATCTGCTGCTCCGAAATCTCCTGGCGAGTCTGTGCTGGGAGGCATTTCATCTGTAGCAGCGGTTTCTCCTGTTGAAGGTGCCGCGCGTGGTCTACTAAGTACCTCAGATTCACGTGCCTCAGACTCAGCGTGATCTGACCACGTTTCCTGACCAGCGGAGCTTGTAGCATGACGATCAGAAGCACGAGCCAAGGTTCGAGGAACAAAAGGACTTCGACTTGCCCCTCTAGAAGGCGAAGCGGTCGTACTTGCATCATGTCGTAAAGATTGGCCCCCAGCCCTTCTATGGAAGCGACCTAGACTCCTAGAGCGCCGCACATCGTTCGTCCCAGAGCTAGAAGACCGCGTCCTTGACGTCCTAGGGCGTCGTTGAGTTCTTGTAGCATTGTTCATCTGTTTCTCCATAGACATAGTACTTCTAGCACGTCGTTGAACATTCCTCTCCTGTCTCCGTCTTCTTGCAGCTACCAGAGAAGTACTTCGCGGCACGGAGCAGAGCAGCTCCTGGAAAAAGAGCTGCTTCCGAACCAAATATCCGCTCTTGTACTCTACTTTACTGCTCAGATTCGAATTCGTTTTCGTCTTCGCGGGAGAGGTCGATGAAGTGAGATACCGCAAAGGAAACTCACTACCAACAGACCGAGCTGCAGTTACTGACGCTGCTGCGTCCTCCTCCAAGAAATCGTCTTCGCCAATGGTCGCATGACTGCGGTACTCAATTCTACTCGTTTCAGTTGTGGTACCTCGATCCCATCTCGCAGCAACAGCATCTGCAGATCCATGTTCAAAAGGAACTTCCCCTCTCCCTAGGGCGTTCGCGAAACGAAGCGTCGCTGCTTGCCACTTGGGTGCGGCCCAAACCAGAGAGGAAGCAGCGGAGGAAGTAGGACGAATAATATTCGTAGAAATTTTACTAGAAGTTGTACTTGTAGTACCTGTTGTACTTTGACTAGAAGTTGTACTTTCTTGACTAGAAGTACTTGACGCAATCTGTTTCTCTCGCCAGGCTCTTCGCAAACCATTTGTCAACTCGAAGATCTGAGTGGCAGTATCATACGCGGAGAGCCAAGCAAGGTTGGGGATGACCCAACCGGGTGGGCCACGTGGAAGTAGCCCATTAGCAACGGGCAACCTGCCTTCAGGTCGACACATGAGACGGTAGTCTTCGAGTTTTTCGTCTCTGCCTTGGAGCGAACGAAGCTTTGACCTTTTGTAGTTTCAGTTTGTTGTTATGGGTACTAAGGAACAACCATTAGTATTGGTGATTATAGTACAGTGCAAACTCAAGAGAAAGTACCACTAAGATAAAGGTCGCGATGATAGAAGCTCACGACCGTAGGTAAGGGTACTACGGTTAAGAATAAATGTCATGTCATGTGTCTCCAATCTGACCTGCCATATCAGCTTTGAGACCAGACCCAAAGGGACCGTAGGAACTAAGGGTACGGTTAAGAATTATAAACAACAATAAGATTCCACAACAATAACATTTTCTACATCCTCTCCTGTAATGAAGAACAGTCAGCATCATTCTATTTCTACATCCTGTACATAAGAACAGTTACCATGAGGATACCCAAAACTACGGTCAGTGTCGTCGAATAGTGGAAGATTAATAAGAATCAAAAAGCCAGTAGAAGTACCGTGCTTCAGTGGGCAGCAAAGAGAGATGTCGATAGCTAGGCGCAAACGGCAACTCCAATGCTGCATTAGCGCAAGCGGTGCTAGTTCCCGGTACAAATTCATAGTGGTACAGAGTCGCTTTTTCAACGTGTCCATTCAATCCTTTCGTTTTCGGCGAAGCAGCTCCACGTAGAACCACTCGAGCTACAGAGCTATCCTCCTCTTCTCCTTCACGATCATCCGCTGTGGTAGAGGCGTCACCAGAGTCCTCATCATCAAAGTCCTCATCATCAAAGTCCTTCTTGCCAGTAAGAAACTCCACTTCCGTATCTGACAAAGTCTTTTCCACATCGAATTTCAAGACTGCAGGAGGAACGCTCTCAGGAACGCTCTCTTCAGCGACCACAGGAGGAATCGCTTCAGCTTCAACTGCTTCTCCAACTGAAGAAGGTTCTCCTGTTGTGCTTTCTTTAGAGGTAGGTTTTTGGTGCTCGCGGGTTCCCCCGCCTTTGGTTATGCCTTTCTCATCCTAAGGGAGAGAGGCATAACAAACGGTATAACAAAAGCACCTTTAACCTACCCTTAATTTCTTGTCTTTGCGGCGTACTCATTCTAGACCAAGTCGAGCTATCGGCTTCTTGTCTTTGCGGCGTACTCATTCTAGACCAAGTCGAGCTATCGGCTTCTTGTGTTTGCGGCGTACTCATTCTAGACCAAGTCGGGCTATCGGCTTCTTGTGTTTGCGGCGTACTCATTCTAGACCAAGTCGAGCTATAGGCTTCTAGCCAATTGCTCGAAATCACAGAGAAGGTCTCCGCACGTCCTTCTTGGGTAGAAGGTGTGATCAAACCGCTAGCCCGAACCTCGTTGTTGGGCGTCGCGTTACGGTCAATATTACCGTCAGTGTTAGAGGTAGGTTTTTGGTGCTCGCGGGTTCCCCCGCCTTTGGTTATGCCTTTCTCATCCTAAGGGAGAGAGGCATAAAAAGCGGTAAGAAAAGCACCTTAAAGGCGTACCCTTAACAGTGGTATCATTTCGAAGGACCTCCTCCACACCTTGATCATGTTCTGCAGCACCACGACCAGCAGTGCCAGTAGTATTTCTTCGCTTACCTACTTCTGAAGCAGATGTAGAAGACCTCGTCCTTGTACTAGTACCATTGCTGCTATTACTGCCTCTCTCCACTTTTTCTTGTTCCGCCAAAGTTCCTATTTGAATCGCACCGGATCTTGGTTTCACGCTCTTCACTCCCTGTCGCCAATCTGCTTTCGGTGCGATGAAACCGTAGTAGATGGGTAGCCAAGCAGTGCAGAAGAGAAGGGGAACTCCGATCATGGCCCAAAAGGTTAAGCCAAAATAACGGAGTTTACAGTCGTGCATCTTGCGAAATTCTTTCTCCATCACATTCAAATTCGCTGGTCGCCACCTGTCGTAGTTGTAGCGGATGTGAGTACTATGATGTTAATATATTCCTGTAGAGTGTAAGGGACGAATTTAAGAAAAGAGACTAGTTAGACTAGTTACTACCATGATGTTGACCAAGAGAACAAGAATCTAAAAACCAACGTTTTCAGTTTGATAACGAGGAAAGAGTAAGTATTCAACCGTGGCACTATCGTCGTCGTAGTCCTCGTACGAACTATCTATATTCGTATGAGTGAATGTGAATGAATGAAGGAATAAAAAAAATAGGTACCTCTTAGGCAATATCGCTGCCACGGCTACCCGACGTGCAAAAACTGGATATCGCTTCTCGGCTGGAAGCAATCTGCGTCTGAGGAGTTCCTCATCCCAAGATTGTAGTTCTGCATTGACCAGTCTCTCATTCACATCGCTTAAGCCATCGCCTTCTTGTTGCTCACGTGGTTGCCCAGTACTCACTTGAGTACTAGTAGTAGCCGCGACTTGATTAGAACCGCCCGCTTGCTCGTCTGCTTGTGCGCTGATGTTTCGAGGACCAAAGACACCGCGACTCGTAGAAGACCTGGAAGATTCCAGTAATCTTGAGATACGCCTAGGACTTTTCAAAGTCTAAATATCTAGAAGGAGTGGAACTGTAGAGGAGACCACTAACAGAGTCGATTGCCACTACACCCTTAACGTGTGCCTTCTATGTTGTGCCTTCTATGTTGTGTGGCTGGTTCTGGTTGTTGTGTTTTTTGAGATTCAGAAAATGTACTTACAAGATTTTTCTGACTACTCGCTTTGAAAGTTGTCCATAATAATCTTCCTCGTCGAAGATGAAATTTTATTATAACTGAGTGTAAGTAGTTTGTAAAAAAATTCTCGCATTGCTAGTACCCGACAGATCTCGCATTGCTTGTCGACGTGCGCGAAGATGACTCTCCTACAGCGTCACTTCTCGAAGATGTTGTAGAAGTTGCACCACGGGCAGCCGGCTGGCTGCCATCAACTACACTTCGATTCCTTTCCCCGTACGCGGCAAAATAGGCCAACAAGGCACTGTCTTTTCTGTTTCTTTCTGCCTCCCCAGGAGAAGTGTTGCTGAGCGAGATCGTCCAGGTCAAGGTTTAGACAATCTTCAACACAAGACAGTAGACGCTAAAAAATTAGCGTCTTGACGCCAAAAAATTAGCGTCTTGCCAAGAATCTAGCTCTTGGAGAAAAATTTGGATCTTGGTCCTGCTCCTAACCTCCTAAAGCAGAAGATCTTTTCCGGCTTGTTTCG